CATTCCACAATAAAGACTCTGAGGGATTTACCGTATGAAAAGTGATATTCAGAAAAGGAGACAGTATTTTTTCCTGACCTGTATGGGAATTCCTGTCCTGTGGGATGAATTCCATTGAATAACATTGAATTATTTTTATTATTTTAAGTTCCCTTCCCTCCTGCAAGGGAGGAGACATTTCAAAGGACTAAGGTACTAATACGCAGTACGAAGAAAGGGGTTCTGAGATGCACAGAGGCACATGGCTGCCTACACACTGCATCACTTTTAGGCCTTCTGAAGAGATGGAATTGCATTGATAGTAGACAGAAGCATCTTCTTGCTATCAGGTGTCTACCTTGCCAAGATTGTTAGTGCTAATGTAAGAATATATGCATGCACACATCTATGTACAGACATATCAGAAAAATATCTTGAGAAAAATAACTGGAAACCTCACAACAGCACTGTCTCCATAACTCTCACAGGCCTGCTCTTCTTACCAAGGGATAGCCACAGTCTTAACACTCGCACCCCAGGTCCAAGAGCCCTGGAGGACATTTTCCTTGGACACTTTCAGCATAAGCTAACACAGGACCACTAGCTCTCAAACTACACAGCCGACTACCTCCATGACAGTCAGTAAACCAGACTCTGCACCTGCTTTGGATAGTTTAGATACCATCACTAATTTCCTTCATTGACTGTTTAATAATTATTAAGAATCATTCTGCTTACTCTGCAGTAACATTGATGGCCTGAGTTACAACACATTAGTAATCTAGTTCTACACATGAACAGATGCACAGCTGTGTTTAATTGGTGTCAAGATGGCACCTGAAAAGCACTTACTTGAATATAGATTTAAATAACAGGACAGGTGACTTGCAACATCTACATGTGCATTTGTGTGGACAGCTTGGGATTCTGCTATTTCGAAGACCAAGACTTTTAGCTTCTTTTTTTCAGTTAAGTTACTTCCAGAAGCTGAGGCCATTAAAATCAAACAGAAGTTATGTCTAAGTAAGCAGTAAGTAAAAATTATAGAACTGGGATTTACATCATGAAACTGTCTGAAAGACAACTTGTTATTTGATTTTGAAATGTAATGGAAAGTAAGAATAATGAAGATAACTCCAATTACTTCGGAATGGCCTTCTGCTCCTTGCAGGGTATGCAGTGATTAACTAGTCTTTTAAGCACTTCATTTTTTTTCCCCCAGTGATACAAGATTTACCCAGGAATCCTTGGGTAAGGATAATTTGTTTTGGCAAAGGTATTTGTAATAGAGGGAAAGGAAGGTGCAAACCTCTCCCTCAGCTAACCCACCCACTCAGCTCATCAGCTTTTCTGTGGGCTGCTGGCAGAAAAGCCAAGGGAGAAACTTGCAGAGGAGGATACTTCACACCAGCTTTGAACAGGCTAACACAGCAGACAATGAAGACAACTGCAACTTTTACCATTCTGGCTAGCACGACACTAACATCAGGGCCTACACCAGTGGTTGGCTTCAGCACACCCGTAAACACCACTGAACTGAGTAAAAACCAAGTCACACTTTTAAGAACCTCTGGTGTATAGTCCCACTTCGCATTGCTGGGCTCTGAAGAGGCAGCCCTTTTGGTACATCTCTTTTCCTTTCCTGACTTTTTTTGGAGAATACAGCTCTATGAACATCCTAATAGAGTCATTAAGTTTTCTGCTGTCTTAAAATATACTAGCAATGACGACAGGACTCAAAACGGTGGTAGTTTCCTCAGGAGCTCTATATCATCTTACCAGTCATCACCCACGTGCAACTTGACAGAACCCCAGAGATCATAAGAAGAAAACACTTAGTTTTTGATGACTGAAATACGGGTGCTGTTTTATGCTGGAGTATAGTTTAAATTATGCAAAACTCTGAGATATGTAAGGCATAAAGAAAGGAAGAACAAGGCCTTTAATTGAATTCATGACCCATTTCAATTGAATTGCTAAAACCCTAAAACAGAAGAACAATTTTGCATTCTGCTAACAAAATCCACCTCCATCCACGTTACTCTCCATGAGTCACACACACACACTTACTACACGAGATGCAAGAAAGCACCACATAGCAAGTAGCTGAATTAGCATCTTCTTACATTTGACTATGAAAACAGTGAATACGGAGACAGGATTATTCCAACCATAATCTAAAATTCGTTGTTAACTGTAGGAAACAAAATGCCTTCACTTGGAAATTCCAATTTTTGTGTGAACTAGCTGCATTTGTTCCTCTGCTGCTGTCAATAACTGCGTTTACTTCAGACCTTTCTAACACAGCATTTCAGAAACTGTAGAGTAATTTAATCTATTGGGCTATTGTTCCAGTAGGAGAGGGTATTGTTATGTTATTGTCCTCCAAATTAGCTTACAACAGGAGCAAATGAAATGACAGGCACATTAAGAGACAGAAGCATGTATGCTATGATGAGAAATACCAGTTCTCAAAGCATTAAGCTACAGATCCTATGGAACGAGGCAGAAAGCCAGTGCTAGAAGCAGCCCCCATAAAAGCACTTCCTTGCTGAAGTGCTGATGGCAACAGCACCTCCTCACCAGGATGTGCTTTTCCTCATTTGGGCGGCTCCCACAACCTTGCAGAAAGATCACCCTCACCCCACCACCCAGCCCTGACGCCATGTCCCTGCACAGGACCACAGCTTCACCTTCACTCCTCTCCCTTATCACTGTTTTATCACCTCCTACCTGCTTTTTCTTCTGATTTGCCGCTTCCCGGAGCTTTGCAAACTCTCACCGGTGAAGAATGGATTCCCTGGCTCTGCATGCACACCTGTAGCCAAAATCTGGGCGACGCCCAGGAGCCACACAGCCACCCTCGTTACCCCAGCCCTGCCAAGCGTTGTGGCACAAAATGGCCGCCAGCACCTCAAGAGATGGCCGTGTGCTGTAGTCATGGTGGTCACGTGATGCCATTGCAGCCCTCTGATTGGCTGAGCCACTGAGCGCAAGCATCTGCTGCAGCCCTTTGCCTGCCATGGCGGAGTTACCTCAGTGCTCTGAGGGCGGGAGGAGGAGGAGGCAATGTGTGGCCCAGCAGCCCCCTCAGATCAAACAGCAGTGGAAACTAGATGCAAATACGTTTAATTGACCCCTGTGGAAGTGGCAGACTTTAGCTGCAGCCCCTCGGTGCTGGAGGGTGTCTCTAATGTACACGGATAGCTGGGGGACTGGAGAAAAGTCCCTCACAGAAGCTGGCGCTGCTGTTGCAATGGGAGAGGCGCAAAGTCGCGAGGGGCTTCCATGAGCGAGATAGGGCCTATATCTCATTGTTCCCACGCACTAACAATCAATAGAAATGTAATTACTACTGTTCCTATTTGGCATAGCTAAAAAGGGTAGCACAGCTTTGTGCTGATTCTCCCATTGAGGATGCAGCTCCGCAAAACTACTCCTTTTATCTTTCTTTACATATTTATTACAACTCTTTAGACTGATCCATGCAAACTAAATGAAAGCAACCAATAGAAAGAGGCTGGCTTGTGCCAGCAATCCCCAGACTGTCAAGCGATCACTGAAGATTGGACAGGTCCTGATGAAATAAATGTTGGCTGCTGACTCTTCCAATTTTGCAACACTCCTCTGTGTCACTGGAGCAGCCTTGTCCAAGATTGAGATATTTGCAAACTGTCATCTTTCATAAATATCTGCCTTGAGTGACACTTTGCCCCCCTCCATTTCCCTTTGAAATGTACCTAGCTGGCACGGAGCCTGTGGGATTTCATTGCCTGTGATAGGTGATTAGCAAAGAGATGATTTCCTCCTCCCTCCCCCTCCTCCCCTCTGCCAAAGGGCTGAGTGACAGGTCCAAAAGGCGAAAGGCAGACTGGGGAAGCAAATCTGCCAGAGGCAGAAGTGATGACACTCCGAAAACACTTCATTCATCTTGCCAAATTACAGGCTGGGCTGGGGACTGATGGGGACTGGAAGGGGAGGGGGAGTAATCCTTTGCATTTGCCTTGTATGCTCTCAGCTCGAAAATATTGCAAAGCGGCTCCTGGCGCTTGAAGGATGCACCCCAAAACTCTTCAGTTTCTTGCTCTGTAATGCTAACAGGCAGGCTGCTACCTGGCTCCTGTTAGCAGTTTTCTGACGCAGCGTATTAACTCTCTCAGCCATAGACATCAGATCCCTTAAGCTCTCACAGTCTTCCTGCCCAGACGTCAATAACTGGGACTGAGAGGGAATTCCAAAAGGCAAAATTAAATAGTAAGCATCTCACCCTCACAGACAGTGAAGCTGGAGCATGGAACTGTATGGCATGCCTTCTCCTCATTTATTTGGTAGGCAACCGTGCAGAGGGCAAACCAGGTATTTGTGATTGAGACGTTACCCTGCTTATCTACTGGGAAGGCTCCAGCCCCGGAGCGGGTAATTTGGGAAGTAGCACAGGTGTGAACCAGCGATTATGCTGGTTCTCTGTGAGCTGTGATGTATTTGGAACAACAGCTAAAATTAATTGTGTGCTTGGATGAAGTTCTGCACAAAACTTTACTTTTTTTTTTTTTTTTTTTTTTTTTTTTTTCTCCAGGAAGAATAGGGATTTGGTAATGCCAATTACATTGGATTTTTTTTTTTTTTTTTTTTTTTTTTTTTTTCCTGAAGACATTTTCTAAAGAATGGCATGATTGGAGGTTTTTAATTTAGGGAAATTTTCAACTTCTTTATTTTGAAGTGGATGTCTGGCTTAAATGCAATTACTTTTTTTTTTTGATTTGCTGAAATGCTTCAGACTTGCCAGTTAACTACTTCAACCCAAAGTATTTTACTTGAATTCTCAACATGTCCCGAGTTTATACTACTTACATTTTCAGACTTGACAATTCTTTTTAATAGTGAGATAACCAACAAAGGAAATTATCTGTTTCCTCCTACCCTTTGCCTACAGCCTATGTAAGCTTTAATATATCATTGAATCATAAACTCACTCTTGCAAGTGAAGAACAAGTCAGTTATTTCAGCTGGTGCAACTGAAGGTCTCTCTTCTGTCATCTTGAAGTACTTCAACAGACACACAAACCACTCGAAGAAAGAGAGAGAATGATTTTATTTTTAATAATACATGAGTTCTTAGTTACATTTCCAAGACAGCAGACCAGATTCTCGTCTCTCCTACACTAGTCTAAGGTTTAACATGCGCTCAAATACAGGCTTAATGCTAATGTAATAACTTATGCGAGTTTTATTATATCACAACCTAAATCTCTAATTCTGATGTCACTTCTGATATTTGTTTGTGTAAATGAAGTCTTGGCTAGCTTTCTGTAGCATCATCTGCTGACTGTATCTCTCAGGATATAATGGAGATGAAAATCAAAGCATAATAAAGTGATTTCCTAATGACAAAAAGAGACTCCCTGTACAGGACAGAGTCAAATGTCTACTCTAGAGTGGAGAAATATAATCTAAAATGATCATCACAGAATCAAAAATGTCACACATGAAAAAGACTATCATCACAGAATCAAAAATGTCACACATGAAAAAGACTATCTGTCCTGGTACTGCTTGATACAAGGATGTTTACCCAATATTAATTTGCCAACAGAACGTTTTTTAGCCATGATGATTTTAAACTTTATGTCTTCTGTACTATGTTCTATTCAGCAAAATTAAATCTGAAGTACTTAAAAACATTCCAACAGTTGAATTCAAATGTAACAGGGTTTTCTTTATCCCTTTAACACTAAAGATTTGCAAAACAGGGACTCTTCATGTTCTCAAATGTTGACTTTCCTATATCTGAAAAGGTATTCAAATCAGCAAGTACTCAGTGTTGTCAGCTGAAAAAGAAATGCCAAGACAACACAATGATTTTTTTTTTTTCTTATTATACAAGGTCTTGCCTATAAATTGGAAGTGCTGGAAAATGACCATCATTTGGTATTGGAAATGGGAAGAACCATCAAACATGAAAATAAAGCACAGTAAAGATCAAAGTCAGACAACCCTTTCTGGTAGATTTCAGTACACTTTAAAAAGTGTGCAAAAAATACGATGCCATTTATTTTGAAAAGTTATGCTCTATCATCACTCAACAATTTACAACTTCAAACAGCTAATTGAATATCACATGCAGTGTGAGGTAGGCTAGCATAACAACATATTATCTCCCCCACACTTCAGACTGAGAAACCTGGAAAGAGAAATTAAAATGAGGTTATCAAAGATGGTCTCAGGGACCGACTTTGTGACAGAACAGAGATTAGAACTTGGAGGTCCTTTCTTTACCTGAACATCAGCACACAGACAAGTGAGGCAGTTCTGCAGCTAAAGAGGAGTCCATGTGAAGCTGAGGGACCCTGACTCATAAATGCAATTAAAAGTAAAAATGCTTCCCAAATAACTCTCCCTCTAGCTTAATTATTTTTCCCTGATAAATCAGTATAAAAAAAGGAGTTAAAAATTCCTCAGCTGTGGTCATTTAGTGCTCTTGGGGGCTTTCCCTTGGGATATGTAGCTGTGGTATGAACTCTGAACTCAGTTCAGGTGACTGTGCCTGCCATCAGAAGCGCATTTAAGGTTGTTGCTTTCAACTCAGAGATACATATGTCTCTGTGGAGGTATGGATGAGGTTCCCAGTCTGTAGAGGGGAAGAGGATTCTCGCACGTTTTAAAGATGTTCTCATCTCCAAGGGATTCTCACTGATGCAGACTCTAGGTGGCTCTGCACTGAGCCGGTGGGTTGGCTAAGTGTTTTAGTAGATGTAGCCCTATATCCAATTTTGGGTTAGGAAAAAGTGATAAATGCTACATATGTAGACATAGTGTAACCCATCTGTCCACCTCCAAACACATGCATTGTACACATGACAAGTTAATTGTGCATTAATCAGGATATAATCTCATACTGCTAATGCAAGTTATGATGTAATTTTACCTTTACTACTTATACAGCTCTGGCTATTATTATCATGTAATAAATTGTATCACTGTAGACTGATGAATGACACTAGTTAATGCATCTCTACCTAATTTGTGTATTTCACGTGGTGATGTAGCATTACTCTGATTTGTTTCTTACCTGGGGAAGCTGCTATATAATTGTCTTATGGCTCCACTAGACTTTTCAGAATGCCTGCAACAGAGGAGAAAATATTTGGTGTTTGCTTTCATTAAAAAAAGAAAAAAGGGGAAGATTTTGCCACAGACAGTGATTGTTTTTTGTTAGGGGACTAGTCCCTTCCCAGTGAGCCCAGCCCTAAGTGGGAATGGATATACTACAAGGAACAAAACCCAAACATGCTGACTTGGAATTTGGCCTTCTGTAATGTTTGATGCAAGAATGAATAGTTGCACATCCATGCCACTCCTACAGCATGTCCGTAGGTCCACCTGTTAAAGTGAGTCACAATCAATATAGGTAGTGCGAAAAAGGAAAGTTTCTGTCGGAATTACACGTTCACATTTTTCCTAGCTTTTGCAGCTCATCTCTTTATCTATACAGCTGTGTGTCTGACCCTCACACCTCAAGCTTTTTAAAGTTCTGGATTTTTTTCTTTCTTTGAACACTTTTTGTGATAAATATGAAAATGAAGAGAGGCAACGTAGATCTAGACCGAGCTATTTTTCTAATGTTTTCCATTAAGCAGCAGCTGCTGTTACCAAGCTGTCATCTTTGTTGCTAGGGAGATTAGGTGTGCATGCCAGAATGGGACCGGTTGGATCAACGTGTCCACCCTACTGCCCGGGAATGTTGGTGCATTGATGAACTCTTGGATGTGGGGCTGAGCAAACTCCTTCCTCTGACTTCAGAAGGAAATGGGCTGCTGGAGCAGAATTCTTGGGAAAGGCCTTTGAATCTCTGCAGGACACTCAGAACTGTTTTCCTACACCATCGTAGTCTCTTCTTCCTCCCTTCCCCCACCACGTGAAAAAGATGAAATGTTTCATTTTGACATTTTCAAAATTCAAAGCATCTTGAATTTTCATTTCCAAAAGACACTTCAAATTTCACATACAGTTTTCTGCCTTCCCCTCAAAGGAAACAACAACAGGTAACCTAAGTAAGATATGAAACTGCAGTCAGTGCCCAGCAACGTATTCCTATTTGGACTCAGCCAGCAAACCAAAACCAATAATCAGCTGCCTGCATAATGCTAATCAGTGTCTTCAATGAACTTCCCCTGCCTCTAAACACTGTGCCAGTGTTAAAGAGCTTCGCTGACCTATATAGAAGGCATTAGAGTTGTTTTGCAAAAATAAGTGTTTACAATTTATGCCTTACAGTTGCTGTTCTTCTCCTCCAAACAGAAAAAAGGGCCTATACATATATATGCATATATATATCTATTATATATTATAACTCAGTTAAGCCATACAAAGCGTGTATCACCTTTCAAAGTGCAACATTTCTCCAGTCTACACAATAGACAAAATACCAAGACAGAGGTCTCTTTTTCCTCAGTTAGCACTCCATGATCAAGGTATGGTTTCTGAGTCTGCAATGAATGCACTAAGAAGGGAACAATCTTCATAATTCTCTAATATGCTGATAAGAAAACTTTATCACTTTATTAGTGAATCACAAACGACAACAGGTCAGATCAAATTTCTCACGTGGCATAAAGATCATAAATGCAGTTCCCAGGGCTACCTCAGCTTTAATAAAATGAAGTCATCCATGTGTTGCTTTGTATTAATATTGCAAGTAGATTTAAGTATATATAAGCCATGATTTTTCCTCAAGTGTTAAATCAAATCGAATCACAGATTTTTATGAGTGATAAAATGATAATAGACCAGATCTGGTCAGCTAGGATAATAACTTGATTCAGTACTTTGGATGTAAGTGTTTAAGGTTTCCATAATAAAACTGTAATGTTATACCCTAAAGTGTGTTAATAACATTAAGTGATGTAACAGTGAAAGCGAACTGACAGAATGTAATACCCATAGGGCCATCATAATAGAAATAATTTATAATGTAACAGCAATAAAATCTTTAATGTTATCTCAATCCAGTCCTGTCCCCATGTCTGGGGTTTCAGATTACATGTGATTTTTTTTCTATGCATTTAAGTGTTAACTTAAAATAATTAAGAAAATGGTTTTCAAAGTAGAAGCGCCTTTCAAAGTTGCTGACCTGATAATCATATCATTAACTCTTTCCTTCCTGACCAATTCCCGTGTGGCTGAAAGCTGATGTAAAAAGAAGTAAATCTTCTTTCTTCCAATATGAGATCTTTTTTTTTTTTTTTTTTTTTTTTTCCCTTTAAAAGCAATTTACAGAAATCATGGAATGTGTAGGACTACCTCACTAATTAAGACAGAACCTCATTCTTATGATTCTCATACCTAAACACAAAATATGTTGTCTAAGTTTCAACAACTCCATAGTAAATGCCATCTCACTATAAACCCATAATGTTCATAAATGGGGCTATCTGCTAGAGGAATAGGAAGGCAATAATGCGTCCTTCATCATTGTGGTGGCAAAACAAAACACACAACGTGGAAGAGCCTGATTAGATACTAGAAAATGTCCTTAATAGCAAAGTGCTGGGGTAAGTTGCCTGGTGGGCCCATGGGATCTTCTGCACTGGAGATTTTTAAGAACAGAAAGGATAAAATGTCTGTGAGGTATGAACATAATGTAGTTCATCCAACCTCTTGATAGAGGGATGTACCAGAGAATGTCATATAGAGTCATAGGATAGTTGGAAGGGACCCACAAGGATTATCAAGTCCAACTCCACATATGTGACACAGAAAACTACCTCCCTAATTTACAGCATAAATATCTTCCCTGGAATCTCAATATGGAGTGATTTTTAATATCTCTTAAGAGAGTTGTCTCCAGGAGGTAAAGAACTTCTTTGCTCTTTATTCTCTTCAAAGCATTTGAAAAGTACTAACTGGATGGACATGTACACAGAATAGAAACATACATGTAGAAACATTTTTTAGAAGCAAACGGTAAACAATCTTTAGGCTTTCTTTGATTCAAGGTAAGGTACAGTTTTATTCCTTCTTCTTGGCAAAACTGCCTTCTGAGAATATTGACTGTTTTAAGGCAGGCATACCAAGGGCTTACTGTAATGTATGCCATGGCTCGGAGGAGTGAAAATATAATAAATTCAGCATTTGAATTCTCTTGCAAACCCATCCAGCCCAGGACTAATAACCTGTATCTTTAGAAAATACTCCAGCATCAGACATACAAGATAGCTATTGTGCAATTAAGAAAATCCTCTGACTCTCAGGTTCTCTCTGGACCCACCAGGGAATCCAGAAAAAAATAACTGGAACTGAACAAAGAAGCAGCTTATCATCTTGAAATATGCAGGGTTAATCGTTCCTTTAAAAGCAAATGTATTAGGAAAACATTAGATCCTTAGCCCTCTGTGACATAATTACACAGGTTTCTGACTAAACAGAGGCGCTCATTAAGTAAAACATTTTATTTTAGTTTCTTGTTGGTTGCTGGTATTATTGGGCTTCTTGCCCAATTCCAGCCAGGCTACCATATGAACAGTGAAAACAGCCAACATTGTTAATACAATAACAACAACAACACTTGGCACTTCCATCATTCCCTTGATCTCAACATCTTAAAGCAATTTACAGATATTACTTGGTTTCGCCATGTGACAAAATTGCCGAGCACGTAAGATTGATCACCCTTATTTTACAGATGGATAAGGCAGGGCAGAAAGGTATTAGGTTGGCTTTCCCTGTCTGCTAGAAACTTAGTGGTAAGATTCAGAAGTCCTGAAGAGAAGCCACGTGGAATTCCTGCTTCAATAATGACTGAACTTTTTTCCCCCCTCCTTTATTGCCATTGTCCTTTTTTGGTTCCATGTAGCAGAAGATGGCTTGTGCCATGAATAATCAAGGAGGGATGCAAATTGTACTGAAAAGGGAATTATAAGCATCACTTATTATTTGTCGTTTTAGAAAAACAGGTTCAGTTTCTCTCCAAATTGATGTGTTGGTTTATGTAAAACAGTTAGGGTCTAGTTTCGGCCAGCTATAAAAGACACAAAGACATGAAGTTTGCAGTGGGGGACAAAGGCATAAGTAGGAGAGGGGGAAGGATATTTTAGTTCCTAGTTCACCAAATCTGGCTATTCAAACACTTGTAATGAGGCTTCTTTGCAGAGCTCCCAGCAATGGGAATGTTAGTGGAACATTTGTGCCGAGGATCTAGGAATGCATATAAACATGTGAAGTCTCTGAGATGCCAATAGCACTTAGTCTCAAAACCCCTCCCATTCTCCTAATCCGTCTTTGGCAAAGATATTCTTCACCCAGGACTTGTAGGGGGTGCTCTGGCAGACTAGAATCCAACTATGTATTTATGTAGCCAAAGTTACAGAATAAAGCTCCCATCTACAGATGTGCATACATATCTTCAGCCTGAGAAATAGTGAAACAACTTTTGTCTTGCATCTAAAAACACCTCATATGTCGAAAGCTGAGCAGAGCTCACATTTGCTGCTCATGGTATTGCTTCAGCAGAAAAAATATGCAGAATATAGAATTTCACTTCACACAGGGAAGGTTTCATCCCAGAGCTCATCTTGATAAATTTCTCAGTGGTGTGCTGGATAGTAAGGAGACTCGCTTGTCATCTGCCAGATTTCTGCCATAGCAAAATAGTTCTTTTTCTGTCTTTAGTCTAAAGGAGAGAACTTTACTAAGAGCCTGATGTGTTAAACTCACCATAGGCACTAAGCAAAGTCTCACACAATGCATATGAATGCTATCTGTATCCAGATTCTGTCTATGTTGATTATAATTGGCATTGCTGCAAACTCTCTGCTACAGAAACACACCAGCACCCCCTGATTTGTAAGCTCAGGTGCTCCACCTTCGCTACAACAATAAAAACATAATAACTCCAAGTAAACCTAATGGAGTTGCTATTAGAACGAGCTCTTAGGTCTAGGTGAATGTATTACAAGAGTAAAAGAGGTGGGAACCATCTTGTCACTTATTCAGCTGGATATGAATGACTGGCTTCAAAAGAAACTCAGGAGTAAAAGATTAAAGGGAAGATGACCATGAACTCTCCTTTCCCAAAGGAAGTTCAAAGCTTCCTGATTTAGGTTCTTATCACACTATAAAGAGGGGAGGGAGGAAGATAAAAATTTAAAAATAAATGATCTTTAAGAAATTATTCTCATCTGAGTGTCCTCCAATATGTCTGGTCCTCTAAGTGTTAAGTGAATTGTAACTAGATCCTAGAGAGACAGTTGCAACCTGGTTATCAGTGGCAGTAAATGGAAGATAATAGCCCCACTAGAGAGTTATGAAATGGCTTGTCTTTGAGCTGCCAAAGTGTTTAGGCTCTCTTTTATTATATTCACAGCAGTAATCCGATATGTCCTGACTTCTGTCATCTGTATGTAATGCTTATCAACTCTCTGCCAGTGATTCACCCCCTTGTCAGGGACAATTATTCCTCAAAGTGCTGAGGTTACGACTGAAGCAATATTATGACTAGAAAGAAAATATGAAAGGTGCAGCACATCACAGCAAGCAATCTTGAAACTGACGTCAAAGTGAAGGAGAACATTGTTGATAAAAAAATAAGGCATAATGGGAGTGTTGCACTATTGCTCCCAAGGCAGTCCTGGGCATCACTAAGGTCATACATACACATGACTATGGTAATGTAAGATTTTCCATTATTTTATTGGAGCTACATTGGCATACTTCTCTGGTTAGGTGTCCATCTCCGTTTCCATTTTAAGCCCCCCATTTAAAGACATTTAAAACTACACAGGCAGAGTCTGTCCTGTCCCTCTAAATTTGCAGACAGGAGCTCAGCCCAGGAAATTCATTTTCCTCCAAAGAATCATGAAATGAAAAGCATAATCTAAGGGACTCAGGGTCCAATTTGCAGTTTTCAAGTAGCCTGAAATTACAGTAACACCTGTGGTAAAGTTCTGATCCAAGCATGTTCAGACCAACCTGTTTCATCACTCTCTTAGATGCCTCAGGCAAAACTTAAATAAGTTTTGTCGCTCCTTGTATTGCTTATGGCTTCATTAATTTGTGGAAGCAGAATAGATTCTTTTGGGCTTGTGGCCAGGAGAACCTGTGGCAGTGGGGAAGGTGAAGTCAGTGTCCCAGCTACTGTGAGAACAGTGGTGAAGAGCAGAAGGCAATCTGCAAAGCAGGGCAGGGGCCTCGGGGCGCCAGAAGCTGAAGACCACTGGGAGAGGGTGAAAGGCTGTAGTATTTCTTTGTCTTCTCTGGAAGCAAGGGGAAACTGTGGCTTGGGAAGCTGTGTCAATGGCAATGAGCAAAAGCAGCTGGTCAGTGAACATAATGGTGGAGACAGACAGGCCAAAAGGGGTGCCAGATGGTCCCAGGGGCAGTCCAGCTGACCAACAGCAGCACCTATGCCCTGCCTGCATATGTGGCTTCAACCCAGTATGAGTTAGATGTCAGTCAGCACATAATTCACTCGACTAAGGGTTTCAGCCTACAGAGTAGCAGAAGTGGGGGAAAACAATACCTCTCTGTGGTATTTTTATAGTTCTCAGCCTCTAAAAGTATAGCACAATTCTGTTCTTTGGTTCTCATTTCGCAAACAAGTGCTTAAGGAGTGCCACTTCCCAGCTTGGAGGGTCACAGGTCCTACTGTGAGGCCAAGAAGGGCCCAACACGCAGGTGAAACAAGTGGGGTAAGAGCACAGAAGAAGGGAGGAGGCAGTCAGGGTTGAAGAAAAATAAGTTACAAATCAGCTGTCCAGTCAGAAAGTAAAGCCACTTAAGCATAGGCATCTCTGTTCACAGAGATTAATGCAAGCCAGGTCTTTCTGCAATGTTTGGTGCTGTTATTTGGCTGGTCTTCCTGACTGTGCTTCAGAGAGGCCTACACGCACCGACAAGGAGCCTACAGTGGTCTCAAGGGTCATGAGCAGCAGGGTCAGCTGTGCTTCCACTGGGAGAGAAAAGGAGCCTCCTAAAGCAATGAGGAAAGGGAATGAATCACTGCACCTTGTCTAATATATCGCAGTAATGTAATATAACAGCAATAACCCCCAGAGCAGCATCTGGTGAACTTGTGACTAAACACAGCTTGTTTTGCTCAATGCACACAAGTGATGAGGATATATTTTACTCCTTTGCCTCACCCTGCCCAAGTGCAAGTGGTAACAAAGCTATTTCTGGGAAACTTAGACCATCTACAAATCAGAATTGCAAGCAGACTTTTCTTCCCCATGAAGCACATAGGTAGCTCACTCTGCAGGAGAGTGCTCAGCAGCATAAACTCTTGAGTCTCAGTTATGGCCACCAAAGTAGACAGAGATCTGATCTCAGCTACTCACCACACATTTCTGACACTGCAAAATTCCCCGTTAAACTCCTGCGTATAGGTGGCTATTTCAGGTGATATTTCCTGGGGATGCAGGAGGCCTGACTCTCCCATGAAGAATATTGGTGACTGGTTGCTCTGACCTTGGTCAGAGTTAATCCTGCAGGAATGAAAAGGTTCAGATTTCAGTACTCACTGGAAGAGAAGAGAAGGGAGGAGGGGTAGCCCCCTACTAACATAACGACATGACCGGTGGCTCTGCCGTCAGTTATAGCATTGCTTGCATTTGGCATTATATTACGAAAATACCTATTCAGAGAGGAAAATAAGATCAAAGACAACATTTCCGTAGTGATGACTTTAGCTCCACTTCACTCTGCTCTCTCTCCTCCTCCTGTCCTTCGTGTTTCAAGGCTCTTGCTCTATTCATCCGCTCTATGCCACCCTGGGTTTATAACATCACATCAGCAGCAGCACTAATAACCCGTGATTCTTTTCCCCCATTGTGTTTGTCAGAGTCAGTAATCTGGGCACTACAGTAGCACAGCACTGAAAAGCTACAGTGTGTTCCTATAGCAACCAACTAATCCGCAGGTGGAAGGTGATTGGGCACCTTTTGCACCGGAACAATAATTTGAAAGATCTTTTTCAGTGTGCTGTTCTGCGGCATGAGTTCATTGTATTGCAACCCACCACGAATCATTATAAGCCGTCATGAAAATGCAGCCACGGCTGCACAAATCATAGCAAAGAGAGATGCGTCTTCCAGCAACAAGCCCTTGAAATATTTCACAGCAGGTTAAGAGGCCAAATTGCGTATAGCGGGATGTATTGTACAGGATAAAACAAAGGGCTTGTATAATAAGCCCAAGCTGACAGTCTCCAAGTCAGGGAATCCCAGTGAAGTGTAAGTGTGTGTATGAATATGAGTTTTCCTGAGCGGTGGAAGGAAAACAGGCATAATAAAAGAAAGTGCTGGGCAGAGCTCCCACATACAACTCTTCCAAAACCAATTACTCCCACCTGGTTATTCCCATTTCTCCGTAAACTTCTCCTTTTACAGAAGAGAATTTAATATTCTCTAATTGAAACCTCCAATTTAAGGCATTTGCTTGCTATCCTCAAAGTCTGAAATCCTGGCCTGGATTTTCAAAAGGTGACCAGAGATTATAGACACCTCAATTTTTTTTATATTCAAATGAAGAAACCTTCAAGAAACACAGAACACTTTTCTTCTGAAAGTCAGGGTTTTTTTTTATCTTTCTAACAGTAAGCAGTCAGAATTTGAGGTAGGGAGTGATCTTTCAAAATAAACCATCTTAATCCATGGAGTATGCATAGCATAGACAATGACAGAACAAGCATCTCCACATCAATCTCAGGAAAGGATCGCTGTCCTTTGCAGCCAACACCTAACTTCTACTCATTTTTTCTTTGAAATGCTGGACTGGAAATACCTCTTTAATGGTAAGACATACAAGCACAAGCATTTCCCAGAGAGTGACTGCAATGCAAAGGGAGAGCAGTTAGTGTAAATAATGCAACAGGCATTGTCACAGAAAAACAAAAAGGAAATCTGTAGAAGTCTTTAATTAAAAAAAAAAATAAAATACAACTACTTCTCTACATCAGTTTAATCACATTGTAAAGAGAATGTCTGTATTAAGTGCCTGTGCTTAATAAAAATGTCAAAAACTCTCATTGCATAAATCAGCTCTTTCAAGATTTGTTGGGGTGATGGAAGAGAAACCTTTAAAAGAGAGGGCAAACAGAAATTTAGTTACTCAGATATGACTTCTAAAATTGCAGCTTAAAAATTTCCCTTCATTTACAGGCCAAAGATTCCAACCTGAGACACTTCCATCTCAATGTTCCTAACTATGAGACAATGAAATCAGTGTCTCATTTACAGCTGAAGAGTTTTGAAAAGCACAGGGTCTCCACTAGAAGCCAAATCAACAGACAAACAAAACAGAACAGATATTGCTTTCATGATCTAATTCTTTTACTCATCCCAAATTAGGATGAGTAAACTGGATGAGGCAGGTTCACATATTCAGTTTATATCAGGTAGAAAAAATCTTGAATGAGGTCTAGGGAGATCTCCTAGAGCTATTAGGTTATTGAGTATTCTACAGCTAATATCAGTTTCTTCCTCTTATTTCCTTTTGCCTTTCACCTACCATGCAACTCAGAAAGTTTTCTCAAGGAAAGTCTTTGAAAAATTCTTAATCTTTTTTTTTTTTTTTTTTTTTCCCAGCAAAATATTCAAAAATTCTTGACCATCTCTAATCGTGAAATACATTGAGTGTTCCTCTCAAGTAATTCATGCCTTAAAATGACATGTTTTTGTTCCTTTCAGAGAGCTTGGATAGATAGCATTGTTTTTCTTTCCAAAGCACATCAAAGAGTCCAAATTTTGGCAGGCTTTCTGTTTCCTTTAAAAAAGGAGAAAAAGAAAGAAAAACAGAATGAAAACAAAGCTAAGAATAGCTGTTCTCTTGTGAAGAGTTGTGGGTTTCTTCACTTCTAGAATCACAGTCATGGTGCTCTCTTCAGGGAGCTGCTGAAACAGAAAGCCTGGAGGTGGAAAGGTGGAGAGGGATAGAAAGATCAGAGAATTGGCACGGGATGTACAGCCTTTTGCCTCTTGATGTTCAGGCTGAATCTAGCCAAAGTCATGATTCACCAGATGAACTGAAGTCATCATTATTGTTAAGCACTTTCATGGGCTACGCAAAATCAGATGTAGTCTCTAACTATTCCCAGGGGACTAGTTTCTATGTAAGTGCAGCTGGTACTTCATTGACAGCTCTGGTGACAGTTTTGGTCTCCAGTTCATATCACACTTTTATAGTTGTATAAATTCTATAAACTGCCTGAATTTGGGTTAATCAGGGCCTTTTCCTTTCAAGATATGTAGGTACAGGATGTACATACCTTCTTTTGCTGGAAAAAAGTTGGTACTCTGAGTAGCTGTCCCTTCTGCTGAAGCCTTTGGAGGAAATAAATTGATAGTGTTTCATGAAGGTCTTCAGTTTTGAATGTGTTATAGGTCCCCCAGATCCATTTTCCTTGATTTCATTTCTCCTTCTTGACCAGTAGCTGTAATTTAATCATCACAGACTGGCACTCCTGTGGCGGGGTCTGTAGCCTGTATTCTTTGTAAAATACCAAGAAATATTGCTCAATATGAATACATGACATCAGAAAAATGCAACAGAAATACCACCATCTCGTATTCTGTGTGAAGCGTTTATCTTGGTTTACTGTATAACTGTTATTTATTGGTACTAGAATCAGATTATTTTAAGGCTTTAAAATCTCCTCACAGATTAGAGAGATCTAATCTGTGCTACAAGTTTATAGAGAGTGGTTGAGTTTCCACAGCTTCCTGAGCAGAGATGCTTTGCTCTACATTGTGAATAAGATATGAGGATGGACTATGAGAAGAAATCACACTGGAGGTAGTCTGAGGAAGATGCCACGACTGACTGCTATATCAGCCAAACAATTGTGCCACGCAAAGCTGAAATGTGCAATTCTTCCCCATGATGAACTGTTCTGGGGTAAAAGTTTTTTTGACTTTAATGGGACCTTTAATAGGACTGTTGTTATCTAACAGCCAAAATATCATTAAAGAACATGGCAACATTGCAGGAACTTCCAGTGAACAGCACTTGTGCAAAAAGGTAGGGAATACCTGGCATATGGATACTACTCAGAGGGATAAACAAAAAGTGCATCACATAGGTAACTTGTAAATAATAGGGGTAAAGAATATGTACTCTGGATAAAGATGACAGGGTTCATTGCTAGAACAAATCAGACAATATGTGAAGTTAGGCTGTGCCCTATTGCTTGGTACAATTATGTGACCTTGTAACAAAGCATGGTCAAGATGGCAGTGATACTGCATATAAAACAGAGCCTGGTGGAAAGTTGCTATTCTTCAAACTCGCTTGCATCTAGACATCTTTCAAGTGATTTCAGAATTTAGGGTGAAAGTGGATCTTAGGCCTTTTTAAAAAAGCCATTTCAAATCCTCATTCATATCATAAATGCTTTTTTCTCCTTTTTTCTGCAGGCCACTTAAATCTCCGGGGCCATGACATTGTCTGGCACTGAATGCAGCCCCTTTTTATCATTATAAAGAAATAATGAAAGCATATGGTGGAGAGGCGCTCATATTTCAGTGTATGGTGCCTTCCTCATTCTCCATAACTAAGCACTGAAGAATATATAGTATGATGAGAACATTAATTATTTCTAATATACTAACAGAAAATTCCTAACAATTCAAAGTCATCCCTTCTGCCTAGCATGAATGTAAGTTCAAAGTAAAAGAAACCAAACATATTCCCACTTTTGAGCATTAAACATCAGCAAGCGACCTGTATTTTATTACAGTACACAGCTGTTTTATCACAAAAGTAAATAAATCACCATTGAACCAACTTTGGGAACGAAGATTTTGAATAATAACACAATTAACTTTTCCCACAAAGTCCAAATAGCCCACTTGCTCATAGTTGCTACAAGCTGTGATTCCCACGTGAAAGATATCAACTTATTTCCTTTTCCTGTCAATCATCGGTACCAAGTGGGGCCATGGTATGTCAGGTCATGACCTTTCACTCTGGGCATGAGCCTGAAAGCCACTAGTGAATCAACTGGTTTAATTATTTAGGCTGTTTCTAATAAATATAAAAATGTGGCCTTAAATATTTCACATGCTTGTTCAGTTTGGGTTTTCAAGCACCTCTTATCAAGCCCACCAGACTGAAAGAGTGCTCTTATTGGTAGGAAATCAGTAAATTAATAACCAAATCCAGCTTTTGGAATAAAGTTTTGATTGTTGATTTCAGGTGGCTGGCTTGGGTATCACTTTCTCTTTGGTTTAGAGGATGAGATTTTTATTATTCTATTTCTTTACATAAGATTGGACTGTTTTTAAACATCACCAGCAAAGTGAAGGTGATTTTCTTACCTCCCACAAAGTGGCCCTTTAACACAAATGCCACTGTAGGATGCACACTTTCCCATATGTGATATATTTTCTACATCCTCTTCAACTATGGAGGAAAAAAACAACAACAACAACAAAAAAACACACAAGAAAGAAGAAATCCAATATAGTAAACTCCTTATAATACAATTCTTCTAAAAATATTCTTGAGTAATGTTGACAGCTTTGCTATTAGGTCTCTTGGCAATGGGCAGAGTTTTATTCCATTTCAGGTCGAAGTGTGATGACAACCCTCCTTTGCTAAAAATCTCAAGTTTTTCCTGCTTGTAACTCCCAATCTAAAATCCTGAACCTGAAGCAAGCTGCTGACTTCAGCTAGTATTTACCAGGGTTACAGAAGGAGTTTGCAGCATCCATACAACCATTTAAATAGAAAACAAATAGTAATGTTACTAATGGTGGATGGTGAGCTAGTCATGTACAACGATTAATATTATACAAACATTTATACTTACTGCACAACAAGCTTTCCATCTGGTAAACTCAGGGCAGAATTGAACCTGAGAAAATAATTGATGGTGCCTTTCAAAAGACTGTGGCTCTAAACCTGAACTGCCAGAGTCAATTCTTAGTTTGGAACATTCCTGAAATGTACAGAACTTTTCCAATGTTTTGTAGATTTATTTTGTTCTTCCTGCCCCTAGTGCTCTAAGAATACTCAAGAAAGTGAGTGTGAAGGACTCTCTCTATTTATAGATGATAAACCAAACTCTTATCCCCCTCCTTTCTCTTCACCCCACACTTCTGCATCAAAGAGAGGGCTTAAGGAAAGGAAAGCGAGCTGCTATTGCTGTTACTTTCCCATTCACTCTCATGGGCTGCTGAAGAGGACAGCTGCTGGTTCTGTAGGAAATATCAGCATTTCCAAATTTATTTTACATGTATTTTTGAACAAAAGGAAAAATCTGAATGACAAAGTAAAGTATGTCACAAAAGAGAATAAAAATTAAATAAAAAATTTGACCCAGTATAGAGATCATCAATGTTACCTTAATTGAAATGTTTATGCTATGAAACATTTCATTTTCATGATGTTTGTTTTTTCATTCTTAAGACTTCAAATCATACAAAATAGTACGTTATAATTTACAATGCAATCAAACAAAAGTCAGATGAAACATTCCACCTTTACTGAAGAAAAGTGTCCCCAACTTATTATGCTGCTTCTCAACAGTTTCAAGAAAATTGCTGTCATCCTAAGAAATCTTTCAAATTCACCTAAGTCAGCATTTGCTGATTAAAAAAAAAAAAAAAAAGCTGTCTTCTAAGAAGTTTTCAATAAGATTTTCTCAAGATGCATCAGGAAGAGCACATGTTTATAACATGTGAGCAACCCCCTGAATCTCCTGGTGGATGAGAGATCAAAATCAAAGTTCAAAATCAAAGTATTGATCCAAGGATCTACCACTTTGAAATCAGATATGGAAAAATGCTAAGGAGCAGCAGTGATTCTTAGGGGTTTCAAGTGCATTTAGAGTACACGGTATCGCCTGGAACATGCTTCAGCTTGCACTTACCTTATTTAGCGTTTCAAAGGCTGACCTTTCATGCACTAAGTTCAGCGACATAGCAGTCAACCTATTAATGTCCAAGGAAGCTGTGGACCAAATCAGACAGTTTAAATAACTCAGCTGTGAACACAGAACCCCATTATCATTTCTGTGAGGATAATCTGAACAGCTGATTCATCTTGAGCAGTTTACTATGGACGATAGGTCTTCACAGCGTCCATTTAAAGTTTTAAATCAGATGAGGGTGAAGAACTTTGCACTCAGACACTATGTTGGGAGGTGCCATATAAAAGGACAGACAGGCAGAGAGGATCATATAAAGGGCCTTATTTCACATCATGTTTTGATAGCCGTATTCTGATATGATTACTCATTTTAGTGGAATAAAAGCATGAAATGAAGTGGAGAGTTAGGAAACTGTATAACCTTTCTTCCCCTCCAACACACATCACCCTATTAAACACTGTCTAGCCTTTGTATTTATCTCATGGTTTTAGTCAGAGAAAGACGTATTTACCGCAAATATCTGTGTTAACAGCACAGAGCCTAAACAACTGATGAAAGGACCTAGCCTGTCTTGTAGAAGAGCATGGGAATTTATTGATCTCTACATACTTTTTCCTTCCTTCTCTAGTGGTGCTTCACAATTTTCATTACATGAACTTAATGGTTGCTGAGAAGAACTAATCTTTTGACCACATCTTCAGCACTGTCTGACAGATCACACCTTTTGAATACTACCAAAATGTAAACCAGAAGGAAACCCATGTGTGGTCTGAAAACAGGTTGGAAGATGACAGAAACAACTACATCTCAGTTTTTTGCCTCTCTTTCAATATATACATAGAAGGAAAAGGCCATTATAAATGAAGAATGATCTAATTATATTGCTCCTTTTCCCTTGGTCTATTATTTTGTCAAGTAGGCTGTTGATTTTAGACATTATCTGTGTATTCAGCAATTCCATAAATAATATTTTCATTGTCAACATTGAAATCCCAAACAGTTTTCATCTCATAATGAGGTTTTCACCATTCTCAGACAATGCTTGAAAGAGTCTTTTATATGATAAGCTGAAGATGTGAGACAATCTGAGCACGGTGTATGTGTTGCCAAAGGCATTAGTTTCAAACAGTCCTCTGTTTCTTCACTCCAACAGGTGGTGATCAGGTTTTAGTAAAAATAGACGTCAGATTAATTCAGTTATCCTGTCACTGGAAAAGCAAGAAGAAATGAAGGAAAAAAAAAGGGAGAGAGTTGTTACTATAAGCTCCTTTATGACCTTGAAAGAGTTCAACAAAACATACCTATTTAGAAAAAAAAAAATCAAGTCTTTCATTGATAAATTATGGCTTCCTGTAGGATATTTTTAATAGCTCCTCCAAGAAGCTTAAAAGTGCTGATGTTTAGGAATCTTGAAAAAAGAAGGCCTTTGAAATGACATAAAAAATGAATATATACAAAGAGTGGGCCCCAACATACACTAGCACAAATCCAAGTAAGGGTAAAGACTGAGGGAGTCCCCAGAGTGCTAAGAAAAGGTGAAACACAGGCTAAAACTATACCACAGTAGTTGAATGGATTATTGGAGACGAGTAAGTAAATGTGGGTTCAGGTTTGACAACTGCTTCTTTGCCACACAGTGACAACTTGCTGGATTCATATACTAACAGAGATTTTGGTCCAAATTTTGCAGAGGGAGCCAATATATATAACTGAGGAGGACAAGAGAATTCAAATTTAAGCTGAAGCTACATGTTTAAAAGATTTATGAGCATTGGAAGATCATAAGAGATACAGGAACCTCATGTGACACAAGTCAGTAGAATGGGCAGACCTTCTCCAGTTGAAATCGAGATGTATTTGTATCACTCATATTTTACATTTAGAAGCAGAGACTTGGACTGGTTCCAGAAGCGGAGGTACTACTACCAAGGTCCCTTCTATGTCCGACTTATTTTGAGGTGCCAAAATAACCACGGGGGTGGGAAGAGATGAAGGGGCTTAGCAGCTAGCGAAGGGCAAAGCGATTGCTAGACTGCTCTAACTAACCAGACACCGAATGCACGGAGTGCCCAGACTCAAAAGAGTATTCTTGTGGCCCTGAAGACTTAAAATAACCGTATAGGGCAGTCTGATTCTGGCATTGGTGCTCTTTTTGGATTTCTAAAGTCACAGTGAGTTTTATGGCTAAATGCCACGATGTTCTTTGAAGATTTAAGAAGCATTATATTTCATTTGAGATAACTTGCTTTTGGAGTTGAATGGTGAGTTCCATAAATTCCTCTTGGATAAAATCTGAAGTAAACATCACAAAATTTTGCATGGGTTTCTTGCAATTTGTTTAGGAGCTTTTGTGTCAAAGGGTGGTGGGAAATGCCTGGCAATGTTTTATTTAAATTATTAAGAATAGTTTTTGAGTATGCAAGTCTAAGCAAGAAACATTTGGAGAGTGCGACTGTGCTGCAGTTTTGCTGGATTAAGTGGCAGTTTTAATTAAAACAATTATACATTTCTTTGTTTTCTTCAGCTTGTTTGATTTAGTTGGTTTCTTTAGCAACAAACAAAGCTTTCATGGCTTCTTCACATTTGCACAGAATATTAATGTTGCTGCCTTTGATTTCAGAGTCTTGTAGACTTAAACAGTCTCAGCATTTAAGTCTCAAATCACTGTTAAGATTACATGAGCAGCAGAGATTAGGATGTGGGTATTTGTATCTTGATACCATTAGGTTACAAGTGAAAAATACAGGAAATGGCTAAAATATGTTTGACCGAGAGGACTGGCAGAACAACTGCATCACGTTACAATTATGCAAAAAAGTCAGACTTACTACAGTTTCAACTCTATTCTCCCTTCCTTCCCTCTCCTAAATTCCTTCCTTAAAAATAGTAGGACAATGCCATACAGACTGACAGTATTTGCATACAGTATTCACAGTGTCAGCTACAACACAAACAGAGTCAAAGCGTATAGTCCCCTAGCAGGGTGGTGTTTAATACAGTGCTGTCACATTGTGACAGGTAAGCTAAGGCTGGAATAGCAACTGCAGGGTTACAGGAGCTATCAATAAACAAAATTAAATAGTTTTGGAAGCTACCAAGCCTCTAATTCTTTTTAAATAAAAATCACCCTAAATGCTTTTTTTTTTTTTTTTTTTTCCCCAGACAGTGATAATGTCAAAAGGTTTTTGAAAAATAAAATGGCCCAACTCATAAGAAGTAATTCTCAAGAATTGATTTTGCTTATATTTTCTTCTGCTGAAGTTACTCCTTACACCTGAACTGAGGTACACCCTCTCCTGAGCCGGTCCCTCGAGTGAGAGCACAGAGCTGTAACTGTCTCTCAGCTCCCGGGCAGAGAATTAAAGCTCTCACTGCCAGCCACAGTGCCATCCTAGACATATGTTTATATAAAAGCACCTCTCTCTTGAAAGGATGAAGGGTTGTCTCTGTCAGTGTGTGTGCAGAGGCTTTATCAAGGCATATGTGATGCTTAGTAACACAGCTGGACAAAAAGGAAAAAGAAAAGGTGACCTAATATAGAAAAAGGCTACCTCTGTCTGAGAATTTCAAAATTTGAAATGTCAATAACCTTCAAAACCTTCTGATCCACTTTATAGTTGGCCCAAAGTTATGGAAAAAAAAGTTTATAGTGGTGATTTGGGGTTTTTCTGTAAAGCTTCTCATTTTCTTCTTTATTTAACATTTTTGATCACCACTACTTTAGCTGATCATGTTTTCCACAGACTTCTGTGGCTTCAGCACATGTGTATATTTATGTGTAAAATATCAATTCATTCATCTTCACCAATGTTGACAAAAAAAGATAAGAATTGGAAAAAAAAAAAAAAAAAAAAGAACTTTTGATTCAGGTATTTTTTGAAAGGAAAAAATGCATTTCTTTCTGGAAATTGGGTTCAGAGCTCCAAAGAACCAGGGTGGTATTTTGTTTCACATCGCCAGGTTGTATTGCTGCCTGGTTTATCCCAAAAGAAAGAAAAAAAATATATATAAAAAAATAAACTGCTGGGCAGCATGGCTGCCTCAGAGGTGCCATTTAGGGTGCATTTGGCAGAGCCAGACAGCCAGGGATGAGCAGCAGAAGTACTGCAGGTGATGGTGCACTGCTGGCAATGGTCCAGGCTGTGCTGGGAGTACCTGAGTTTGACCAGCACACAGGGTTTAAACCCATCATGTGCCAGGGAAAGGGGCTAAGAGATCAATCTTTTGCTACTTAAAGTGTGCCTTCCTTTAAATTCACTGTGCATTCATTTAAAATATCTCATTTAATTTATGCTTGTTGCTGTTTTTTAACATATGCAGCACTCTCTCTCTCCCTGCTCTTTTTAAACTGCTTATCCTGAAATCAGTACATTTTCCTTTCTTGGAGCTGTAACTTAATAAAAACCAAACCATTTCTTTCCAAAGAGTTACAGCTCCTCCCAGATGAGTACATCTAGGTCAGGTTTCAGCCTGGCATAAATATTTTATGTTTGAGAACTAAAGGTCTCCAGAAATCGGGGTTCACACTGGAATGCCTGACGTAGCCTTAACCATACCAGCACATGCGGGTGCTTGCTTTAATAAAAAAGCCCTTAATCTCATTTGGCTCTACCTCACTGGCAGCTTGAAGCACTTGAATCAAACAGTACAGCTGTGAATTGTGACACTGGCTGGACGGAAGCCCAGAAAACTTTTCCCAGAGAAAACCCTTGAGGGAAGAAAAAAAGAAAAAAAAAAGATAGAGAAAAAGAAGAAGGAGGAGGAAAAAGGTTCAACAACCGAAATACAATACAGTGGAGAGTGAAAAAAAACACAACCAAAATTTGCACCCCCACTAAGAACCTGAGACAAACCAGAAAACCAAAAGATAGATGGAATATACCTTAAAAAGAATACTTTGTGAGGTGGAAGGGTGGCAGTGAGGTAGTACTGGTCCCATTCCATATTTTCTACACAGCAGCAAATAACCAAACTCAAGCAAAGGAATATGAAAGCTGAATTATACCACTCCTTCAAAATCTATTTAAATAAAAGGCAGAAAAAGAAGGCAGCTTTGATTTTTTGTGAGGAAGAAGAAAAATATCCAGCTGAGGAGATTAAGAGAGGGCTTGGAAGCACAAGTGGCATAAACAGACCTAGCACAAGTGTGCTTGGCAGT